GTCACGATCGTATTGTCAACCTCCTTGACGATGATGAGGAAAATGACAAATACACGGTGAAGAATGGATAATGAGGGGACAGGCTAGGGTGAACGATGGTGTTTTGGTTGAAATCGTGTATTGTTTCACAGTATTGAACGTTAGGGTTTAGGGTTGAAATCGTGTATTGTTTCGTCTAGTTTCTTTTTTCAATAGAAAAAAGGATTCTGAAGAGACAAGCTAACTAGGAGTGTATAATATTATAAAGGTACCACCACGGCCATAATGAGTAACAGTTATGATATATTACTTTCATAGTGAAATTTCATAAAGAAGCGCCAGAGTTTAATTTACAACTAAAAATTTTAAATAAAAAACAAACTATATCACAACGGTGGAACACACCAACCGTAGTCATAACCCTTTATGTTTTTTATTTAAAAATAAAAAATAAAAGGCGCGTCTTAATATTAAAGGATTAATATATATGATGGCGTTGAGTTTCGAACCCATGAAAGCTTGACGATTTCATCATGGTTGGCTCCTCAATCGTTGTTATATACAATTAATTTGTAATCAAAAGACAAAAATAATATGGGAGCGCCTTAGTTTAGAGATGTCACCGCGGTGTATTGAAGAACTGTGGTGACCATGGCATTGTTATTTACGCATTTTGTAGTAGTGCGTATATGACACGTTTTATGTCCTTTGACATTGTATCTAGACAAATTACCATATGTAAAAAAGTCGTTGATTCTGCAAAATAGCATTGCACGCATCTTAAACTTTTCACCAGAATATGCATCATCAACGTCAACACTTTTATCCCAAAAAAGTTGTAAACCCTTAATTAATGAACTTAGATAAACATCTATATCGTTCCTGGTAGTCTTGATTCAAAAATCATCATAATTTTAAAATCATATATTTGCGCTTCATGCTCAACCAAGGAGATAAGTTGTAAATCGTGAGAAGAATGAAACACAAAGAAGAGTTAGTACTCAGATTATCAAAGTGGTTCATTCCATCTGTGGCAAGCCCAAGCCTAAGGTTTCTTGACTCAAGGCCAAAATTCGTAAGCAATGGATCAATTTTCTTCCATTGCAAAGAATCAGCTACATGACGAATGTTTCTATCATATTTTCTTTCATTTGCATGTCATATAATATTATTTGCGTCATTCACATTAGCAAAAAGTCTCTTGAACTTTAAAATTATTGGCATGTACCATAACACTTTAGTTGGAGGATCTTTCTTACTAACAATGTCATTGTCATCACCATTGTTGTTCTTCAACTTGTAGTGCGACTCACCATATTCTGGACATTGATCCAAATTTCCACTCTTTCTTGTATAATATGCAATTATTAGAGCATCCAGGTATCTTGACATACCTCAAACCCATTGGACACAATATCTTCTTGGTGTCATAACAACGATCTGGAAAGTTGTTATCTTCTGGTAGCATTTGTTTCAATAAATCAAGCAATTATGTGAAATTTTTATCCAACCACCCACCTTTTTCCTTAAGATTAAACAATTTTAACAACACACACAATCGTGTAAAATTGGTGCACCCCTTATATAAAGGCGCATCTTTGTCACTACATAAGATATCATAAATATGGACTTCCATATAAGAGGATTTTTCAATATCACATATCATATCTTCTAGTCGATCATCGATATTTTCATCATCTTCATCCATTTGTGACATTGCATTTCGATTATTATTCACTTCTCCATATCACGTCTATGTTGTATAATTTTGACATATTTCATCACAACATAGGTGATGCACTACAAAAAAGTTTCTCATTATCCGTAAGTATTGCTTACCTGGAAATAAATATATTAATTACAATTAGTCTTTATCATTACATGCCAATAAAAAAACATAATATAGCATTCAACAGTGCACCATAAACATTAAAAAGAAAGTGAAATGAATCAATTGTTGAGGCTAAAAATATATTATTCCAAAGGTATAAGTTACTAGTTCTGATATACAGAGATACACTAACTTATTCAATATTTGTCTCATATATCCCTATAAAATCAAAGCACTCTCTCTACTTCCTCGCATGATGCTCTAACCTGAACATTCATATCTTGCCAAAATCCAACAAAATATTATAGATAAAGGGAATTCAAAAATATTAGATAAAATATTTAGTTTAAAAGACAAACAACTAACAAATATTGACCAAGTAAAACTAATAAATAAGGAACCCATCTTTGTTATCTTTCCAACCTAAAAAACAAATCATCAAGATTCAAGTGTATCAATACAAAAATATTTATAAAAGAATAAAGAAGAGAATTAGCTCCAATAAAAAATCAACAAAATCAAGGATGTCTCTATCTATCTACTGCATTAAAAATCAACAAAATCATCATTAACAATAGAAAAAGTATGAGAATGAATAATAAAATCATATGGATTTAAACTAAAAATATGAATATTATGAAATTTCGGCTACACTACACACCAGAGAGATTATCTCTGTTAGAGATTTCTTATGCCTCTAATATTATTATTTAGGATATAGACATATAAGCAAAATGAAGTGTAATAAACAAGTAGCAGCATCAACAAAACAAGGTAAAGAAGTTGTAGCAAAATATTGTGTATCTTTTATTGCATATAGTCAATAATATCAAATACTGAAGATCACACTAGTTTGTGATTAGTCCAAATCAGGTTCTGTTTTGGATGGAGGATTATACTAACCTTTATATAAGAATATTTTTCATGATAAAAAAAATGAAAAAATCACTCAATTTCATCTACAGAAATTGGCTATAATTTACTCTCTAAAGAACCTTACTCAAAATAAAAAATGATAAAATAATGCTACTTTCAACAAATCAAAAAAATCAAGGTTGTGTTTGCTAATGTATATTCTCATTCCTAACTCCATCATGTGAAGACCATCATGGTATGTGGAATACAAATGTGTCTTACATATCTTAACACGACATGTGTCATTTTAGGCTAATGCAATCTCCCATTAAACAAACTAATGTAATGAGTATAGAGTACACAATGGAAACAAAAATGAAGTAAGTATGCACATTTTATATATAAAACATTTTCCTAACTAATAAAAACATAATTTTATGTATAAAATATTACCCAAAATAATAACAAGACTAATACTAGTATTAATTAAAAAATATTCTATTAACTAATAACTAGACTAATAGTTATGTTATAGTTCTCACATACAAGACACACTTGAAAATGGTTTCTTAATGAATATAGTTCTATTATAGTTTTGTTATACACTACAAAAATATATGTCCCCAGCGACATATATTAGCGACGTGCTTATCACGTGGGTAGTAGCGACGTGATAACCACGTCGCTAATATATTTTAATGACATTTAATGGAATCTGATGAACGTTGTTGGGAGGGAAGTTTGAAATTTTGTAGCGACGTGTTAGCCACGTCGCTAAATTTTTGGGGGGAAAATGCGCAGTGTTGGACAGAGAAAAGTATTTATGGTTGCATTGTAGCGACGTGATTATCACGTGGCAACGTGGCGACGTGACAGTCACGTCGCTACTAGAAGTTACAAATGTTAACGTTTTGATTTACAGTAGCGTGCTTCTTCTTCTTCCTTTGCTTTCCTTTGCTTGCTTCCATTCCATTACAGCAACTCTCACAAACTCAAACCCAATTTTGCGAATTAATTTTCTTCCATTCCAATTTGTTGAAGAAATCTAAGGTATGCATGTGATGTTAAATGTTTATTTCGTTTTATCTTTAGTTTTTATACTGGAATTTAATTAACATGGTATTTGTTGGATTGTTCCTTATTATTTGTAGAGAAATTTGAAGAACACCAAGAACTAGAAGACGCAAATTTATTGAAGAAATTATATAGAGGTATTTATGCATTTTTTTTTAGATTTTATATGTATTATATAGATTAGATTTGTATATGTATTTTGTGGTAATTAGGAATATATGTATATACTGTTAGTAGTATAAAATTACTGATAATAAAAAAAATTTTAAAAACATATTTAATAACATATTTAATATATTTTTTGCATATGTAATTTGTATATGTAATTCTAATAATTTTAATATATAAATTTTATTATATAAATTTTATTATATAAATTTTAATATATAAATTTTATTATATAAATTTTAATATATAAATTTTATTATATAAATTTTATTATTTAAATTTTATTATATAAATTTTATTATTTAAATTTTATTACATTAATGAATTAATATAAAAAATAATTATTAACAATTTTTTAAAAAATAAAAACGTCCCCTGTAGCGACGTGGGATTCATGTCACAAATTAGTGACATGAATCTCACGTCGCTAATAAAGCTGCATTAACAAATATGTAGCGACGTGAATACCACGTCACAACTTTGTGACGTGGGAATCACGTCGCTACTTGCTTGCCACTTACTCCCCAGCGACATAACTCACCACGTCGCTAATTTTGCTTTGCCACGTGATTTTGATGTTTGCCACATGAATTTCACGTGGCAACTAAGCTTCTTTTTTGTAGTGATAGTTCTGTTACTTTTACCAAATGTCATTTTTAATGGGTTATATTATCACATATTTCATACAAAAGAAACTTGTCTATTAAATGAGTATAATTGTGTTATAATAATATTGGTAAAAGTAACCTAATGAAAAATGATTTCTTTTGTAGTCATGCCAATTGATAAATCATAGATGAAAAATGGTAAAGTATGCTCCAAGGTTATTTTAATAAACAATGGAAAACCTTTTTTAAGGTAAATTACTTTTAATTTTAGAAATGTATAGAGAGTTTTCATATGAGACATTGCAAGTGACTAATATTCTTGTTATTAGAAATCTCGATTTTGTTTCAAGGTACATGAAGATTTAACTAAAAGATATATTGAGCCTCCGATTGGAAAAAGTGAAAGGAGTATAGGCTTAAGTTTTGGAATACTAAGTATAACTCACTTTTGAGCAAAAGTCAAATTATTGAAAATAAACCAGAAGATGTTACCTTGGAACATTGGACATTATATGTTGACTATCGTTTCAAACCAGAGACGATGGTATGTACTTCATTTTTATTGTATATTGAATTTTTTTTACGTAATATTTTGTGAAATTATAGAAAGTAGTATGTTTCCACTTGTAGGATCTTTGTAAGAAGAAAAAAAAATAAGGAACAAATAAGTCTTTTCTCATACGTGTGGGGCCAAGTCTTTGGCAAGGAGAAGACATGACCTAGTAAGTTTAACATTATTTTTATCTAAATATTTTTCTTAGACATGAGTTAAATACATAATGATATTGTGTACTATTTTTTAGACTATTGAGATGGATAAGACTATCGGTCGGGGTCTAATGTGGAACATGACCCATAAAAAGAAAGATGGGAGCTATGTGAATGAAAAAGCTAAGGAGATAGGGGTAAATTGATAATTTGTATATCCTTATATGTTTTAAGTTTACGTTCATTTTTTATATTATGAGTAAATGAATGATAGTCATTGTTTATTTGTATTTTAAGTAGGAAAAAATTGATAGTCAATTAAATCAAAAATTTAAGGCTTCTTCTGAATTTCTTCAAATGATGTTGTTGGAAAGGTATTTGGAAAAGAGTATCCTGGTCGTGTTCGAGCAATAGGTATGTGAGTAGTTCCTACTATTGCTTTTAAACAAACCACTACACGACTTAGTGGTATGGAGTTTGATTCTTCAAGTGGTAATACTTCAAATGGTAGTTCTTCATTGTGTAAAAAAGACTTGCTTTTGTGACTTCTTTATTGGAAGCAGTTGTTGGCTATATTAGTACAAAAGAAGGTGGTACACTCCCTGCAGATTTACCTGTTGTACTTGCAAATCATACACAACAGGTATATTAATTAGTTAGTCATTTTGTTCTATGTTTAGCTGACATGAGCATTAACATCTGTGCTACTTTTTGAGTCTATTACTGATTGTGTTACTTTGCGAGTCTATTGGTGATTGTGTATAGTTGACAATGCAATATAACATCGCAATTGTCCAAGATTTATGGCAGCTATTCTCCTTTAGAATATCAACATTACCTCAAAATATATGCATTGTATGTATCATGATTACCTCAAAATAGATGTCCTTTAGAATATCAAGAAGTACTCTAGAATACATGTCCTTTAAAATATATGTATTGTACTGTGTCATGATTACCTCAAAAATATATGTCCTCTAGAATATCAAGATTACCTCAAAATATATGTAATGTACTGTATTAAGACTATCTCAAAATAATTTGGACAAAGACTAGTTTGTATTTGTCCAAACAAGAAATTTGTGTCTGAACAAGGTTGTTGTTTGTGTTTGGACGGACTATTATAAAGTGAAAAACATGGAATGTTGGATCGGGGTTTTAGATCTAAAACAGGAATTGAAACTTAAAGTGAAACTGAGAAAATGATTTGTTGAAATTGAAACTGAATTGTATTGTATTAAGACTACCTCAAAATAATTTGTATTGTGTCATGATTAATTACCTCAAAATATATTTTCTTTAGAATATCAATAAAGTGTTATTATTGTTAGCTTTAGTTTAATTTGTTTAGTGTTTAAAAGTTCACATCAGATTTTTTACTATATCATGATTACCTCAAAATAATATCTCTATTTAATTGTATCTTAGCCTACAATGCATTAGTTACTGCTTATGATCTAGCTGTTACAATATGGACATTTTATTTTATAAGTTATTTTATAAGTTATTTTATATGGTAGAAATATAATGATCTTGTAATATAAAGTTTTTTCTATTTTTTTTTTAGACTTCAGAGGTAGAAAGTGAGCCTTCATCATCTTATGTCATAAGATCATCAGATGCAAGCAATACACATGATACAAATCCCCAAAGTCCTTCAAATGACACATAATTTACTTATGAAACATTTATGTCATAAAACTTGTTTACTTTGAGAATAGCTTAAGATAATGACACATTTGTTGATCATTTTTATGATTTAGTATTTTTAAACAAGCTTGTGATATGTATATCAAACAAGTTAGACTTATTATTAATTTTGAAGAAGTTGAACAATTGTAATGACTTATATATCTAGTGAATGCATTTTTAATGTCTTTTAACTTTTTTATAAGAATAATTCAAAAGTAAACCTCAATTTAGAAAATTCAAATTTACTTTAAAGTCAATAGTAAATAATAACAAAAAGTTTAAATTTAATTTTGCATATTTAAAATAAAAAACTAAATATATTTGAAAATTGGGTAGTTTATAGGATAATATTTATAGCAAATTATGGCGGTTAAATTTGACGTAGATTTAAGTATATTATAGCGGTTTCAAACGACAAACTATTAAACGAAACTTGTTTAAGCATGAAAATTTTGGTGTTTCAAACTGCCACTATTTTCAATAAAAAAACCATTTTATCCTAAGTTTAAAATGGTGGTTGTCATGGTGTTTATTTTAAAACCGCCATAATTTAACTAGCTACAGCCAATTCTACGGTTTTTTAAAAACACCATTTTAGTAAATTGCGGCGGTTGAAACCGCCGCAATCATCTTAAAATAATCGCCATAATATATGGATGAAGATGATTTGAACTACACAGCTTGGCAAAGATGCAACAATTTAGTGCATACATGGATTATCAATTTTATCACACCATCAATTGGTCAAAGTGTGGTGTTTATTGATAATATGATTGATATGGGGAATGACCTCAAAGATAGATTCATGAGAGGTGATCGCGTTCGTGTTGCTCAGTTGCACCAAGAGATTTCGAATCTGAAACAAGGTAACAAGAAGGTTTTTTATTATTTCACTTAATTGAGAAGCTTATGGGAAGAATTGGGTCAATATAATCCAATGCCAGGTCGTACTTGTCGTGTGGTTTGTGCCTGTTTGGCAATGAGGAATAGTTGAAGTTTTAGGGTTGAAGATAGAATAATTCAGTTCCTAATTGGCTTGAATGAAGAATACCATAGAGTGGTGTCACAAGTTTTTCTCATGGATCCCTTGCCACGGATTAACAAGGTGTTTTCAATGGTGATGCCGCAAGAAAGGAATAAATATGGCACGGTGTTTTCAAGTGGAACTGCAGTGGAAGATAGTTCAAGCATGATAAATTTTGTGGATGGATCAAAACAGTTTGGAAGAGGCAGAGGAAATGGTAATTTCACTGCAGGAAGATGCAGAGGTGTAATACAGTGGAAGAACTGACTTTGGTTTTGCATTTTATCACAAGTGTTGCGGATAGCAAGAGTCGCCACCGACTTTTCTTTTATCCAATAAAGGAAAGGGTGGAAATAACAGGAAATACCTTTGAGAATTTTTCTAAGTAAGGGGGTAGGTTATGGAAAGGAAAGGTATTAGCACCTTTTTCATCCGTAGTTATCTATGGGCTCTTAATCGCTACCTCACTTTTAAAAATGCTTTGTGAATGTGTAAGTTTGAAAATATTTTGAAAATGCCTAAGTTCGGAAAACTTTGTAATGATTCTCGTATCAGTTGAGAACGCATACAAAGTGTTTGTTTTGAAAATATTTCAGAAAAGTGTCTTGTGTGAAAAATGTTTTTGTTTATGAGCAAGCGACTACGAGCTATCTACCTACTAAAAAAGTCTATCGCGTTATTTTCCTCTTCCTTTAGATAGTGTTTGTTAGAACATAGTTTGATTCTACAACCCTTGATTAGAGTTTTGATGATAACAAAATACAAAGAATAAATAAATACAAAGAATATATACAAAGAACAAATATGCTCCTTAAAAATATGTTCTATGTATGCAGAAGTTCTGACGGGATCAGCATCAGAAGATAAGCAATAAAGTATTACACGCTGAAAGCAAAATAGGTTTTACGCTGAAGTTTGATGACCAGAATCTGCGCCTAAACAAGTACACTCTGACTCTGAACAAAGACATCTCAGCCAAGTCATCAACACTCTGAAGAGTTATCAGCGATTAAAGCAAAGAAGACTCTGAAGTGTTATTAATTATTCAAGACATAATTAAATGCCAACGGCTTTCTTCAGATAAGATCTTCTACAAAAGGAAAGTGTGTTATTAACATTAAACTTGCTTTATGGACAACGTCTCTGCCTTGCCTATATAAACAAGTCTACTTGTGAAAGAAGCACGTACGTACACACACATCAATTTGCAGAGAATTCCAAACCACGCATATTCAAGCTCTAGCAAATTTATTCTATTCTAAGCTTAACCTGTGTAATTATCACAGTTGTGATATACTGTTTTGTTAGAAAACAACAACACATTCTTGTTCAATTATTTGTAAAAGATTTCCTTGAGATTAACCGGTTTGTGGTTGTACTCAAGAAGACTTTAACGGTTGTTAAAGTAGCTGTTGTAATCCTTTGAGATTAGTGGATTAAGACCTCGTTGGAGAGAGGCAAAATCACCTTGATGGGTGGACTGGAGTAGTTTGAGATCAAACGAACCAGGATAAAAATATTGTGTCATTAAGCTGTTTTGATCTAAGTTTTTCAATTCACCCCCCCCCCCCCCCCCCCTCTTGTGTTTTTCACATCTTCAATTGGCATCAGAGCGCCTGGTTCTGAGCTTAAACACTTAACCATGTCAGTACAAGATCCAGCGTCAGAAAAACACAATGGTAGGACCAAGTCAAAACATCAGCAATGACAACAATGAAGAAAGGGACAGATTCAGTGGCAAACCTCCAGTCTTTGATGGAGAGAACTTTGACTACTGGAAAGACAGGATTGAGAGTTTCTTTCTGGCCCATGATGCTGATCTGTGGGACATGGTGACTGATGGATACACGCACCCAGTGGATGGACGTGGTCAGAAGATTGACAGGAAAATGATGTCTGATCAGCAAAAGCGTGAGTTCAGAAATCATCACAAGGCCAGAACAATCCTTCTCAATGCCATCTCATACTCAGAATATGAGAAAATACCAAACAGAGAAACTGCCAAGAATATGTTTGATTCTCTGAGAATGACGCATGAAGGCAACATTCAAGTCAAAGAAACCAAAGCCCTTGCGCTCACTCAAAAATATGAGGCATTCAAGATGGAAGATAGTGAATCAATAGAAACTATGTTTTCAAGATTCCAAATTCTTGTTGCTGGTCTAAAAGTTCTTGACAAATGGTATTCCACTGCTGATCACGTTAAGAAGATCATCAGAAGCTTACCAAAACAGTGGAGGCCAATGGTCACAGCGCTTAAGCTAGCCAAGGATCTCAACAAAATCTCTCTGGAGGAACTTGTCAGCTCCCTCAGAAGTCACGAGATAGAGCTAGAAGCAGATGAACCTCAAAAGCAAGGTAAGCCAGTAGCTTTAAAATCTAACAGAAAATCAGACTCCAAAGTTTTGCAGGCTGTGGAAGAAACCTCTGATGGATCCTCATCAGAAGAAGATGAACTGTCTCTCCTCTCCAGAAGGGTGAACCAACTGTAGAAGTAGAGGCAAAGGAAGTTCAGGAATCCCATAAGATCACAAAATCAGAATGAATCTTCCTCCGGATACAGAAGGTCAGAATCCTCCTTTGGACACAGAAGATCTGAAGGTTCTTCAGGATACAGAAAGCCAAACAACAAAGACATCATCTTCTATGAATGTAATGAGCAAGGGAACTACAAAAGTGACTTCCCAAAGCTTCATAAGGAGAAGCCCAAAAAGAAGTTTATCAAGGAAAAGAAGAAAAGTCTCATGGCTACATGGGATGATTCTGACACATCTGAAGCTGACTCAGAATCAGATGATGAAAGAGAAAACATAGCTCTCATGGCAAACGTATCTGAAGACAGTGAAGCTTCTGGTTCAGACTCTGAATCAGATACAGAAGAGGTATTCCCTGATTTTACTATAAACTTTACTAAGGTTGAACTAGCTGAAAGCCTTAATGAAATTCTAGAAAGGTATCAGCAGATCAGAGTCAAATTCAGAAACCTGAAAAGGAATCTTGCTTCTGACTCTGATAAGACTGAGAGTCTCAGATGGGAGAATTCTGAGTTAAAAGAAAAAATTTCAAAATTAGAAAACCAGTTGCAAAACTCTTAGATGGAAACAATCCCTGAAACTCCCAGCAATGCTGATGAGATCATCAAAGAGTATGATCACATCTTTCAGAAGTTTCTTTCTAAAAACATAGACAGAAGCAAGATGGCTTCAATGATCTATGGAGTTAGCAGAAATGGCAGAAAAGGGATAGGATATCAAGGTAAGGTACCTACACCAAAAAATGCCATGTACTTAGTTATAAAACGCACTCCACTTGATTCACACTTTATATATGGGCACACACATGACATAAAATACACAAGTAGTGATTACTCTGTCAAACCAAAATTCAACCAGAGTTTTGGTAAAACTAACAAATCAGGACCCAAGAAAATGTGGGTACCTAAGGATAAAATAATACATGTGGCAGATATCTTTAGCAGTAAAGCAAAGACACCAATCATGGTACCTGGACTCTGGCTGCTCATGACACATGACGGGAAGAAGGCATATGTTCCAAAGCCTGGAACTTAAGCCTGGAGGCCACGTAGGCTTTGGAGGCAATCAGAGAGGAAAGATCATTGGATCTGGAACAGTAGGTAATGGAAATCTTCCCTCTATAAGTAATGTTTTATTAGTTGATGGATTAATGCATAACCTGTTATCCATAAGTCAATTAAGTGATAACGGTTATGATATAATGTTCAATCAAAATTCATGCAAAGTTGTTAGTCAGAAAGATGGGACTATCCTATTTGATGGAAAGAGGAAAAACAACATTTATAAAATCAAACTTTCTGAACTGAAAAGTCAGAATGTAAAATGTCTTCTGTCTGTTAACAACGAGCAATGGATCTGGCACAGAAGATTGGGACATGTTAGTATGAGAAGAATATCTCAGATTAACAAACTCAATCTGGT